AGTTCAAATGTGATTGCGGCTTCGAATGCGGAGACCGTGTTCATGTAGTAGCGGAATGTCCGTTGTACAAGGAGGACAGGGAAGCGTACGTGGCTGAACTGGGAAAAATAGATATGACTTACAGGGAGATGTTTGAGGAATGGAATAGCGAGGAAAGGACGGTAGCTGTACTGGGGCATAGGAGGTGGGTTGAAAAGGCGGGAAGGGATATCGTTCGGATAGACAGGCAAGATGGAGATGACAACAACAGCAGTAACAACGATAGCCGCCGGTGTGTATTAAGGATAAGACATGCCCTAATCGCCAACGATGTTTCTTCACGCTCCGCCTTCAGTCCTCCTCCCCGCCGCCCCCTCGCTCCCATGTTGAATAGTCCTCGCAACATAGCTGCAAATAAATGTCTTTTCGCAAGCGGGTCCAATGCAGGCGACCGGGTCGGAACATTTTTTGAGGCAACAGACGGGTCGGTCCATCCCTACTACTACGGTGTTTACCCATTTGACTACTCAGTCCCCTGACTTGTCAAAATGACTGAGCAGTCTAATGGGTAAGTCTTACTTAACAAAAGATATATTCTTGGCCCTTGGCCTCCCAGCTGGAACAGATATCTGCGGGGACGGACCCCTCGCCAAACGCTGCTGGAAAACTAATGATGTTGCTTCGAAAGTTATCCAGCTGGGGCTAACCCGTTCGTGTATCCTTTGTCAAGGCTTACCCATTGACAAATCTAATGGGTAGCCTTTCTCAGCAAATTCGGCGGGCGAACGCATAGATAGGTGTGCGATTGACAGTTCAATTGAAGATTGATTGCCCCACCAAAAACTAACAGGGCGCAACAACACCTACCTGACCAACACCTGAAAGGAAAGCACTCGACGAGATCTTTCTTCTTTCCAAAACCACCCTCGTCGGCAACTTGTCATCCTTTTGGTTGTGCGGTAATCGATTTTTAATCATCGATCACACTCCTCCCGCACTCTATATACCCAGGTTGTTGCTGAGATCACTACTTACTGCTGTGCCACGCAGAAGCTTTGGCTGTTAATAGTACCTGTTGGTAATCGACGAAAGACAAGGTGTATTATTTTCAAACCCCATAGTCTAGCACCCAAACTGAGATTAAAAAATCCGTCGCAAGCACTATCAAATATACGAGATGCGACGAACAAGAAGTAACAGTTTCAACGTTTTACGAAACGCACGGCGGCCACCGTCTGTCGACATCCATCTGCCTGATCTCCTTGGGCGCTCTATTCACTCCGAATCTATTCCGACTGTGTATTGAGCCGCGGAGCGCGAAGCGCGACCGTTCTTTTCCCTCCGTCCCAGGAGGGAACAATCAGGCTCTATCTACCAGGGGCCCACGTTTGAAATAACGACCGCCTGAACATGCCCTCAGAATGAAGGTTGTTAAGTGGCGTATGAACGACAGTATGAACGGAGGAGACGCTTTCAAGCACCTTCTTCGTCTGATCGCGTCCCACTTCAAGCATAGGGACCGTGGAAAGGCCTTGGCAAGCTGAACGCGTTCGGCGTTCCCCAGGAACTACATATGGATCATTTTTGCGACAGTACGGTACTGCCGTGAACAAGCGCACCCACTAGACTTTTAGCCTTCGCGTACTTGGATGACGCCAGTTTAATGAGATTTGACCCCTTCCTGCAGAACCAATCACGTTTGTGCTGTGTGGAGCTCTCTTGTCCGACCACAGATGCAGGTTGTTTTCTGCGTTCCGTTGTTCTCTTTCTCATGATGAACGCTTTTCCAAGCCAATTCACAAGATCCCAAGCACACACGATCACCGGACGGATTGTACGCACACCCAGCAGAAGCAGGTGAAAATTTCAAAATTCCACATGCGTACCTAGCTAGACAGATGGTCTCCCAGATAGCCACTGGCTGCAGCAGAATCACACGCTCTTGCTTGTTGGGGAAATACCAGCAAGTGTGCACACATCAGGACGGCTCCTTTCTCGTCCCAAGTATTCCACACATCCACACCGCTACATGCAACTACGTTGTACGTGCTATGCTATCTAAACAAATCTACAAATCTGCTACAATCACATCGGCCAATCGGTACTTGTTCCTCCGCTTCAAAAAAACAAACTCGGCGCTGACGCGCCAACGCATGTCGGGATGCGTATGTGGGTGGGTGGGTGGTGGTAATCAGGCGCTCCCAACGAAGAAGACTCAGCATCTCTGCAATCAATTCTTTTGCGTTTGCTGAGGCGTTGACATGCTTCACGTATCCCAATTTCACACACACCCCACCACGTGGTTCCGGTGGTGGTGCAGGTTCCGCGTCCATGGTTTTGGCAGCGGGCGGTATGGGGAATGGGCGTCAGCTGACAGGCGTCATGGGCTCTCGTTAAGTTGTGCATGTGCAGGTTACAGGTATTAAATCTACGACCACGCCGACGGGTAACAGGGAAGAAGCCATGAACTCCTGTATGTACTATGCTTGTCACGACTGACACGCGGTGATGACCCTTTGACGTGCGACCGCGTGCTACACTTTTCCGAGATTGCAACACAACCAGCGACGAACTGCCTACCGTCCGTCTCCACAACCACGTGCACAACAAATTGCTGTTCTTGCTGGGCGTACGCAGCAGTGTCAGCATGGATCATGCACATTTTTGCATTTTCTTGAAAAGTAATACTAGCTCTATGACTTTCGCGGAAATAACTGACTTTTGCGGAGAGTTGCCCCTGGCGGAGAATCGGAGACCTGTCATCAGAACATTTTCAAATTTTGCCGTACGTCAGGTGGCAGGGTCAGGGAAGCTGCACAGATGCAGCAGGAGCACATGACCTGCAGCCGGACGCGAAACCCACGTCGCCCTGCCTATCAAGGTTCGCGACGACGTGAACCTGCAGCAGCAAGCGGCAAGCTGCGCGCCCTCCTGAGAGCTTCGAGCTGCAAAGGCATATGTGGTAAGCTTCGGACACCAAATAGTTCGGACGTTTTGCGTCAGTCTATTTATTCCCGGTGCTGACGGGGTGAACGGTAAAAGGCTTCAAACTTGAAGTAGCGCACAGGCGGACGGATCAGATTCCTGCAGGTCGATCTAGCTCTCTTGAAAGGTTGTGTGGTCGATGTCGTTTGTGTTCTACAGCACTGTAGTCATCTTGTTGTTCGATGAGCACGCAAACGGCAAAACTGCAATCATCACTATTTAGTCTAGGATGTAACGAGACCAATCAAATCTTCCTGTGCCTGCACTTTAATGAAGACTACCGTAGGTGACACAAGATACCATACTCCCTGGACCGATTTTCGACGTTCGACTACTCCACGACGAAGAGGGTACCAATTCAAATGGTACGATTTCGGAAAGATCTCGACGAGACGGTTACAACGCCTTCATGTTCGGCACCGCCACTCTTCGAACTGTGGACTAAATCGTTAAAAAAATCGGTAAAGGGGGTGTGATATCTTGTGTCACCTACGGTAGGTTACTGCTGTACGCATTGTTGCAGCTGAGGAAAACAACACCCGCCTGGCCGGCGAGAACCTGCAACTACCTGTTGCATGGATTACTTCGGCTAAGCTGTACGGTGTAGGGAACATATATATTGTAGCGTGTTCTTGCTTGTCTGCGAGCTTGTAGGCATAATCGCCGGGGTGTCGTTGTGATGGACCGCCATGGATGTTGTAAGGTACTGAGAAAAAACCTGAAAGGGGCGTGGTCGAGAAAGTATTCATCAGTGGGATTTCCTTCTACACCACACAATCTCTGGTTAGGTTTGATACAGTGATCTCAACCGCCATTTGGTTCGCTGATCACTCGCAAAAACCCTCCATATCCCACATACACACATGAGCTGCGCGGTGTAGTGGGTGTTTGGCCGGACATTCTTATACAAGGTACACATGCCATCGTCCATGTTTCCGAGGTGATCTGTGGGACATAAATAGGTGGTCGGTGTACGTTTGCCCGAAGTGATTTGTAGGACATAGTTGGTCGGTGTACAGTTAGCGCCCGCACTTCAGAGCTTTGAAGTTGAGAAATTCAGCCTGGAAAATGTCAAGATCTAAGAACTTGGCCATAAGAACATGTGATAGGTTGTGACGTGGTAACAAAGAGCAAGGATCCACCCTTCTTTGTGGTGCTTTTCAACATCGGGTGCTTCAAGATAAGAACTCACGAAGGTTGGGGGTAACCCCAGCAGCAGTTTCAGATCCGGGGGCGGGGGGCGGCAACTCATGAAATAGTACGAGTACACGCGGCGGGGCCAGGGTACCGCGTGCTCTTCGAGCTAGACCAAAGCACCCGCAGCATGAAGCCGCCATTGAAAAAGTACAAAGGAGATCAGGATGAGGTGGTACGGACGTGCGCTTCGCTTGAGTGAAATACGGTAGAGCAGAGTTCGATCCTACCATCGCAGAGGCGGGGGGAGGTCCGGCCATCAACAGCAGTGAACATGCTGTTTGCGGCCTACGCCACTTATTTATCGGGTGAGACTGTTTTGGTGATGTATTAACTTCACGGGAGGTAGACGACCATCCTTCACACGGACGAAAGAGGGAGTGCTCAAAGAGCGGCTCCCACAGCAAGGAGGGGCCCCGTGAATCATCGCGGTGCCCCCTATCAAACGGTTATCTTACCAGTCTGCGTGACACAAAATCATCCAGCACATGTATCCAACAGCAATGTTCGCAGACTCACGAACACATGCGACTGGCGTTGTAGAGCGGGGAGGGCACGAAAGTGGACCTTGTGGACCCCTTGCGTTCAATGTTGCTCAGATTGTATGCATAGTGTATGGCGATGCCGCGTCTGTATGTTCTTGTACTTATGCTATGGTGATCACGAAAGCTGGGATGGGTTGGATCCAGAGGTCCTGTGGAACGACGTTGTTCTCAACCGTTTTTTTCTATTCACATGCTGGTCTCAGTGTCAAGCTGAAATCCATCCAGGAAGAAAGACCTGTGTCCTCTGCATCGGACTCTCTCGGCATGGGAATAAGAACAAGAACCCCGATTGTTATCGTACGCGGATGCCTTCTCGAAGTATGAACCTTTGCAGATAGATTAGACTACATGCTCGGTTTGAGGCGCACAATGAGCGGTTCTCGAGTTCGGGCGCTAATTGTTTGCACGAGGTGAATATACATATCGGTGTATGTTTGCTCCACAGTGGTCTGTGGGACGTTGGTGATGGATGTACGTTTGCTCTATGGTGATCTATAGGGCCTAGGTGCTCTGTGTACGCTTGCTCCATGGGATAGGCGTATGTTTGTCGCATGGTGACCGGTATAACATAGGTGAGCTAGCTCTCATGACCCTTCCTTCCTGTCAATTTATTTTGTAGCAACGGTGGAGGAAGAGGAGAGCGACATGCCAACAATTGATGTCAAGATATCTTGATAAACCGCACGCACTGAGGTGTATACCCCCCTTTTGTGGGGGCAGTTGGCTTGTGACCACGGAAGGCGTCCGCGTCAGTTGGATCAGTACGGACACTAGAAGGTACTGCGTGGATACCGGATCGTTCTTTACTGTGAAGACCACAACAACAACATCAGCTATGTACTGAGACTACCTCTTGTTGTTTTCGTCTGATAAACAACGACGAAGCACCCATGACGTTCGTGCTAACGACTTGCTGCTGCTTGCAGGAAGCCGGACGAAGTCGTTCCACAGGACAAGCGCCGGGCAGTCACGCTATTCGTTGGCCTGATTCTGGCGATCTTGGCATGTGAGTTCTCAGTTGGTTGCAATGTTGCGGCCTAGGGCATGTCGGCGCTGCAGCGTGTCAAACCGGCTTGCCTTTCCCCCGACCTCCAGACAAGTCGCGAACGGAAAAAAACGTGTCTAACTATATATTATGCTTCTACTCCACTTTTCTGCATGTCGGTACCATATGCATGAGTCGGCGGCTGCCTGTCCATACGCGGTAGACTATCGTTGTACTGGGCTGTGGTGCAACGAAATGGACGAATGGAGTGAGTGGTGCTCTCTCAGCGCTCCTCCACCCCTCTCTCGACGCCTGACAGCGCAGTATTTCTTTCCTTGTACATTCTTCTCGATAAAAGTTTCGATTCTGCGGAGCTCTCTGATTCACATTGCAAGCTGAGCACACTGATGATGGGCACGCCCCGCATTGGGCACGCATTTTCATCGATCGACGACGTGGGCAGACCTCCTTCTTCCAATCACTCCCTTGTCCCCCCATCACGCCGTCTATACTCTCGCTGCCGCACGGCCCCACTCGTTCATCATCTGTCTTCCATAGCATTCACACTTTATTCCCGTCTGAACTCGTGAACACTGCTTTAGGTAGAATCGACTCATCTTCTCTAAGTGTCACCGCGCAGCACACGCTATAACTACTCTCGCATTTCATCAATCGACATCATGGATGGATGGGCACTATTATGCCTACCTTCTCCTCCCGCCAGTCCTCCACCAAGCCCTCTCTACTCGCCTCGTCATTGTCTATCGTACTCACCCGTTCATGTGCCTTCGACTGCACACACGGCTGCTTATTTTCTGCTGTCATCGTCTACGTACTACCACGTAAATCTGCGTTGACATCCTCTTGGAAATATTCCGATTTTAAACGGTCAACAAGAAGATAGTCAATTCTCTTGGTTCAGTGGTAGCGTGAAGCGCCAATGACCCGAAAATCTGCCATAATCATTGAGGCGTGACGGACTGACAAGCAGGGTGTACTCTGTGTTTCGTCGATGGTATTCAACCATCATCGATGTCAGACAAACAAGGCATTGTCGCGTCCGTCCTTGTTCCAGGCTGCATCAGCTGTAATACGGTAGATCTACTGATCATGGCGGCGGCGCGGCAAGCACCAGTAACAAATTCAAGTATTTTCTTCTTCCAAATGATATCCATGTAGACGCCCGGCCCGATCCTTCAATCAAGTGTATCCTCCATTCAACACAGCGCAGCACAGCAGTGGTGAGTGCGTTTTTCACCTACTGCATAGCCTCTGCACTCTATGTTGACCTTTGCCTCGGAGTCGCTCAATTTGGCCGATGGCGCGAAAGAGCCAAAAACCTTGCCTCGTACTGTTTATTGCACTCCGCTGCATGTACAATACCCCCCTCTCCCCCTCGAAAGCAATAACCACGCCTTTACAAAAAGCCCCGACATAAGTCAGGTCAGTCCCATGGAAACATCCTGATTCTGTGCACTGCTCAAGCCAGACAGGGCGGGGGTGAATTCAGTCCAGCACGAACCGTTTTCTCTGCCTACCTGCCTACCCTGCGGTGTTGCCTTTCAGTGCCTTTGGAGATGTGTGCCTGCCTCCGAAGCTAATTTGGTTACTTTGCTCTTCTGTCGTAACTGCTATGAATCAATTGTTGGACTTTTCTACGCTGGCGGTCAGATACGGTGCTCCTCGTGTACAATGCGGTGGAGCAGAAAAATAACCCGAGTACATCCTTCGTGCTATCGGTGAGTGTAGTATGTGCTTCGTTTTCCTACCGACTGTTGTTTTTGCAAAGGAGTAAAATTCACCACGCCATATTCTACCGGGCGCTGATTCCAAGGAGAGACAGGCATCAATCAATTTTCGCGGACGAGATGGACTTGCACTTCCGAGTAGGGAAGCTGGACTCTTTCCCGAAGAAACAACTCTTCGAAAAGGAAAGGTAGAGACGTAATAATTCTAAAGCTCGTTCCTTCTTGCAAAGCCTGATTGGCTCCGACTCGTTTTTTCCCCCAGGGCCAGACCTCTAGACTTTCTAAAACTCATGGCCATGCCACCCTGTCGCTGTGTTTGTGTCCGTTTGCTCTTATTGGGTCAAACTTGGAATAATATGTAGGCGTTTCGCGGGAAAGAATTCTGGGTGCTCATCCTGAACCAGTCGGTGTCCGGAGTAGAAAAGGTACCCATCTCGAAAGGGATGAGTGGACAAAGGTCAAACGAAGAAGGCAAGAAACAAGTGAGTCTTCCTCCGTCCACACCTCCCGTATCCACAATTACGACCTGGCTCCCGCTGTCCGCCACCGCACGTGTCTGTGTTATTTTGTTTCGCAGAATAGTGTTTACAAATACCCAGACACGTACGTGTGTTTGACCTACTTCTTCGGCTGCGACGACCTTGACTTGGAGGAGGGCTGTGCGTCTTCCATCTTCGACACGGAAGGGGGCAGCAGCTCGGCGGTATTCAACCCCGGCGGGGAGATGGAGCAAGAAATCGCCACCACTACATGGTCAGACGAGGCGAGTCTTGTTTGATTTCCACCATTGTCTGCTGTGGTTATCGCTTCTTTCTCTTACGTTGGTAGCGTGTTTGTGTTTGCTTTCCTTCTTACCTCTGCGCGATTCCCGCGTAATGTACGGTGCTGGTCCTGAAGGCAGAGAAAAAAACCACTCTTTGGACACACACTCAAGGCGTATGACCCGGAACAAAGAGGAAGTTGTTGTGCACTTCATTGCGCAATCGAGAATGATGCTTTGCTAAAAGAAGGCAGGAAGGTAGAGAGCGTGAAAAACTCTTGACACGAGGTTCTGATCGTGGGGGTAAAGCATTGAGCGGTGCCACGTTCGTTCTATTTCCCTGGCTTTTCCTACGGGTAGGCTTGATTAATGACCACGGGTGGACGAGGGTGAGGCATAATGTTTTTGTGAGCTGACGTAAAGTTCGTGCGATATGACATAAAACTTCGTGTGAGATCACAACGTTTGATGGCAACTGATCGTGAGCACGTTTGCGTCCATACTGCCCTGCCTCTTTCAGAGGGGCTGGTGCGTTTTCTTCGAGACTTCCGCGGTGGACATCGTAGACGGCGAGCGAGATCCGGAGGACTACATCCTCCTAAACGTGAGCACACATGTTCCATGTGTGCCGTACGGAGGAACACCCATGGTCATGTGTCCTTCCCAATAAACGTCGAACGACAAGCCACGACGTATGGAGAAACGTCCTGTGCACTCACGAGTCCGAAAACAGCGCTTCCAGTTGGGAGGACGGGTCTTCACTGGTGCTTGCTATGTATGTCTCTCGAGTTGTTACGTTGATGGGGCTGCTATGTTGTGTTTGAACAGATGTACTGGTATCCGGGCGGGACCGCGAACGCTTCGACGACGTGCATTCCTGAGGAGGGCGAGTGGGATTCTCACAGGTGATGAAACAACCGCACGTCACACAAATATCTGAAAACCTCTCATTGACTATTACAAAAGAGAGCTTGAAATACCGTCGTTAGTACCATCAGTGCTGTAGGCCATGAAAGAAGGCTCGGTGCAACCCAAAACGTTCCCAAGGCTATGTACATGCGATGCGCACATTGCCGCCCCGCGAACACCCTTGACCTTGCAGAAGGAAATCTTCAGACTTACCAGAAGAGGCAGTCACATCAGAGGATATGTACAGATGGCGCCCGCAGTGTAACGTCTCGGGGCGAGGTTTGGCTTTCCAATTGTAGGCCAAAACACCAGGGATACTTTTATGTGTAGCTTGTTGCGTAGGTTTCTGTCGTCCTGGCATGTTTTTGCGAGACTCGGACACGGGCATCCTGTCGGCCGGCATCCAAGTCCCCTACAGCTGCATGACCAGCGAGTCCAGCAGACACGTCTTCACCTACATGGTAAGCAGAGCAATCAAGTCTTCACGGCGTTACGCACTCCCGACCGGCCCTTTCTCACGAGTTTCAGATAATCAACCTACCCACGTGCTGAGTTTCTGCCCAAAATATGGTGGGGAGATGGGTCAGGGTACTCAGTTGTTGCCCGCGTTCGTTCTAAGCCATGTATCCAGCACAGGTTGAGGCGATTCGTCGTCCCGAACTCCAGCAGAATCCCCTTCTAGACGTGTTCGTGGTCTTCAATCGCGTTTAATCAGGGTGTTCCACGGTGGTTGCTGTTTTGCTGCCTTACGACGACCGACTTCCGCACGTCAGATTCAACAGCAGTGCTACCGTAAAAGATGTCACGGCCATGACCCAGTATATCCGCTTTGCTGCAGTATCACCCAAAATCTGTTCAGCCGAAATGTTGACACAGAATGTTTCAAATGTCCCGGTGGCTCAGTGACATACCCGCGGTATGCAGTTGGTGGGTTCATCCCTGAGTGCGCAGGTTTATTCCTTCTGCTCCGTTTATAACATGTGCATTTTGTGTGTGTGTGTGTGTTTTATTTGTCAATTCTTGCGATGAGTTCATCATATCGTCGAACAAAAATGCTGCTATGTCTTCATATTTTATTTTTGTGTGGGGGGTGGAAGACTAGGCAAAATCTCTTAACCTAGAAGACCTAGCTGTGGCTGGTGTTGTATGGCTGGTTTTGTGTGCCATGTGTTTGAAAGCGCCGTGGACCAACGCGTTGTCTGTTTCCTGTGGAAGGAAGCGCGAGGTGGCAGAACAGGAGTTTCACGAAAATAAGTATACGATGGGCGTGGTTGTTTTCGCTACACGTGAATGAATCCAACAAGCGGCTACCACGCGGCAAAGATTACTGGAAAACAATGTCGGGGATGGCGATCTCATGGTTAACTGCCTTGAAGGTTGACCGTATCCACTGAAGTGCGTGTCGCCATGGAATCAGGCTGTTTTTCAACAAGTCCTTCAGGTTGTCTTCGCTTTTCCTGTCCCCGTTCCTTGGTTCGTACCGTGAACCCCAAAATTTCCATCGCTTCCAAACAGCCATTCACGGTTTGAGCGTCACCGCCATATCGCTTTCTGATACCGCTTCGTCACCGCTTAAAAGAAATACCTCCCGCGGAGCAGCCTGCTGAACGGATCGCTTGGTTCGCAATCTGCTGCATTCCATCAATTGACGACGAGTGCATTGAAGAGGCACGTGCATGTTCTCCCCGTCCCAGGCTAACCGGACGTACTACGCACTCTCGTTTTGCGGCCATACAGGGGATAGGACTTACCAAGGAGGATAAGCTATACGAAGACGACACCGCCTCGTACAAGGCTCTGGAGATATCGTCAGCTACCTACAAAGACAAGGTTGAAGGTGGAGTCTCTGCTACCGTCTGATAATTACTCCCATGCATGAATAGCACCTATCCATGTGCTACAATAGAGGCTATCCCCCTTCTACTACTACACAGGCCGGATACCTGTTGGTGCGGTCGGTTGAATTGACGTGGTGCCTGCTGCCTGCGTACACCTGATTGCCGTCGTATGGTAGACTGAAAAACGAAATGAAAGTCGTCAGAGTCCGCGTGTCTTGACTACCCGGCCCCGTTGACAGGGTCAGGGCTTGAGGCTCCCACGTGAAACGGATTTCTAGCGGATCAACATCCGGGGCCCGTTGCACACGGACTGATAGCTTATCGATGTCGGTGATGATTCCCTCGCCGAGAAAGTAAGCTTACGTAGCGAGATACCATGATGATGGAAAGGAGCAACTGACACGTGTGGAACTTGACCGCCCCCCCCTTCTCCCGCCCCCCCCTCGTGTGAAATTACGTGTCCATTTGGAACAATTTGTTCGTCTTCTATTTAGAGGACCGACAACATTACCGGAATTGCAAGCCCTTACGCGTGGTTGTCTATGGAGATAGCGCAGTCAACGGATTATCTGGAAGAGATCACGGAGATCAACCCTCTCGAGATCGCCGAGATATTCGGCAACGTTGGCGGGTTCTGGGGTGAGTTGTGCTCTGCGTGCTCGTTGATGTGGTACTTCACGTTGGCTCACTAGAATAACTTACGAGCCCGACGAAAGGAGTGTGTCAGAAATAAACCAGTACAACCACTGGCGGAAGGGCGGAGAAAATCGATCAGGGAAGGTTTCCTTCGTGACGACAAAAGCACTGACAGACTCGAGAGCAAACCCAACGATAACTGCGCCAGCAACGCGGAAAGGTCGACATGTTCAACTTTCTTTCGCAGGCAGGGCAGCGCATCTTGTACCGAAGAGCACATTTTCGAGAAAGAAAAGATACCGAAAGTGACAAATGTAGCGAGAGAAAGCCAGAGTCAGCGGCCACGAACTGATGGCGGTCCGACACAAGTACACACGCGAAACGTACAGAGAGAAAACAAGTGTGAGAGAAGTAGTGGCATGGCAGCAGGCAATGGGGTGAAGGGGCCAAAGAAAGGCAGGCATGTCGCAGACTAAATTCGCCAGCGCGCTCTACCTACGTTCGACATCGCCTCGGTTCTTCCTCCTCAGATCTTCCTGGATTGATTTGCCCCGATTGGATTCTCTTCACGTTTGGAACCATGCCCTTACACTTGTATGTTCGTTCCCTCACCTCGTCCTCCTCCTTTGATTGTTCCCTTTTCGTGATTCACTCTCGGTTCTCGGCAGACTTGCTGCTCTTACTGTGGCCAATATTTTTCATTTCCGCATCGCGCCAGGAGCCGCACCTCAAGGGCCGAAACTTCAAGAAATCCGTCTCCAGAGGGTCGGACCGTGTAGTCGATCTGACAAGGCGAGTCAACAACGCTAGCTTGGACCTCCCGTATCGCCTGAGGCGAAAGGCTGGCGACAGGCAAAGCAACGCAACGGACGAGGACGGGGAGCGCCCAGCCTGGGAAACTCGGGGGACGCTGCCCGCATACGGACAGCAGGTGGATACAGTCGGTCGTTGTTGCTGGCTTTGGTGGCGGTCTTGGTATCTTTGGCGATGTCGGCATCCATAGGCCTATTCCGTCAGGCTGTCAGAGTTACTCGTTTACGAGATCTTCCTTCTCGCCCAGTTCTGCCAGCAACGACTAAATCTTCGTAGTACGCAGAACAGCACCGACACCCAGTGTCGTTGCTTATAACCGATTTCAGCAGGTGCCTGCAGGACTGCTATAGTCTTTCCGACGAGTGTGCAATATAAACCACAACCGCGGTTGGTTACTCCACTAGAGCCCCGGACTCATGATCTGTCTTCCCATTCACTCGCCCACCTAACCCGAACCCACGCACTCATCCCAGCCACCCCCCCTGTATGTCCACCGCATGGCCATCCCCGTCCATATCATGTACGCAGCCGACGCCTTAAACGCCCCCTTTGCCCGTACTTCCGCAGGATCCCTCGTTGGGAGCACCGTCTCGCGGGGTGTCCGGTGAAATTTTCCCGCATTCTTCGCGCCGGAGGGATGGGTCTCCTCCAGACACCGCCGTACCGCCGCCCGTGTCTTCAGCAAGATCGACGAGCCTCGGCGCGGCCACGAGCATGACGTCAAGCGCTTGTCTGGGCCAATCAGAGACGCGCCTGTGGAAGGATGTGCCCAGTCTCGCTTCGCGGAGCTCTTTCTCGTCCGACGGAACGGTACCGGGGATCGGCATCAGCGGTCGACAATTGAGCGCGGATGAAGGCAATGCTCCTGTGACATACTAGCGAGATCGATTCGGGCGAATGTGAGGTGTACGGAAGCCAGCAGTTGCAGCATCGGCGGCTATCGAGGTACCTCTGCCCAAAATTTGCCGGCAGGACTGTCTTGTAGTCTGACGAGGCCGAAAAACTATACGTTTCCATACCATGGCAGGACTGCCTTGTGGTCTGACCAGGCCGAAACAGTTATTCGTTTCCAATGAAATATGTTTTACGTTTCCATTGTATATCACAATGCTGCGACTACGAACCGTTTCCGAAAGTGAAGGTGGATCTTGTGTGGTCTTTCCTCACGTGAAGTTGGTGAAGTGCAGACAGCAGTGCCTACACGGTCGAAGGAAAGCGCCTATTTTGTTTTGCAAGGCTCAAGGTCGTTTTTCTTGTCTCCACGATTGAACGCAGACCATATCTACCCTACGATACGGTGTTGTAGTGTAATGTCGGCGGCCGAGCCCGGTTTCTTACGCCATTTTATCGTTTCTACAATAACGTGAGCATCGATTCCTTCGGGGGGTGTTTCTTATGAGCAGAGGCGACGTTCTGTTAGTGTTGGGAAAGGGCTGAGGAGCGGCGAGTATTTTGGTGTTAGAAGTTGAGCGAGTGTTCTCCAACAGCAGCAGTGTAAGGATACTGCCCAATGTTTTAACTAAAGTTCCACCCAGACATGACATGTGTCGTCCGTTGCCCTGAGGTCCATGTGTATCATTGCTCCCGAGAGTTTTGAGTGCTTCGCGGGTATCGGGAAAACCTGGCGGACATTATCGACTGGCCGCGTAAATTGTTTATCTACTGTGTGTGCCGGGGACGAATGCAATGAAGGCGGCAGGAATAAGTCATACGTCCCCCTTTCGTGGGTTCATCGCCAATCCATTTCGCCCTTTCACGATGTGACGTTGTTATTTGTTCATTGCTGGGACTTGCATGCGTGCCTGAAACGGGGCTCGCTTCCCTTTGATGTGTCTGCGTACGGGGGGGGGGAAGCCTGGCCGGCGAGAATCTATTATAATAGGAGCAGCATGGATTGTCCCGACACACTATGGGGGAGGGGATAGCGATAGTCTTCTTGTCTGTCCGTGTGGACGTGGAGCTTTGCAGGTATCACCACTGTCGTGATCTTAGCCCTAAGGGTACACGTTAAAAAATCAAGACAGGTATCGAAAATCGGAGTCCGTGGAGTGTGTGTGTGTGGTTTGGGGGGGGGGGGTACTCACAGTCGTGCATGCCGTAGTCGTTAGACCATTGACCTCGCATCCCTACAAAGCCGGGACGGAGCACACCGGGTTCTCACCGGACCAGGCTCTCACATCACCAAGCGCGAAGCGCCGTGAGATATTCGGCGAGTCGCATGAAGGGTGCGCTGCATCCTGCTAAGGGTGTTCGGCATCTTGTGCTTACTTNCAACACGATCCACTCGATCACCATTGTGGTTACCGCCAACAACAAAAAAGAGGTAAAAACAAAACGGTAACCTGGTTGCCGAGGTCACGAAGTGAATTGGCTTGTTTTACAACGT